TTGCATTGGAAAACCGAAATTGAAATACATTGACCTTAGTAATTCAATTTATATCGTATTTAATGATTTAATAGGCTAGGCAGGCGCAAGTCGTTGATCACTCCATATAGCTAATTATTATATTGTTTCCAGGTATTTATACATTAATAACACCAACCCAAACGCTTATTCAGTATATGTGGGGTGCGCTCTCACCAGAAGACAGTCATCTACCTGTAATGGTCATCTTTTATGACAGGGTCATGTTATACCAACGCAATTGATTTATGACTCCTAATTACCAATTATTACCAGAATTGGGGCGGGGTGAGCTTCCCACCATTGTGTGTGTGTGTGTGTGTGTGTGTGTGTGTGTGTGTGTGTGTGTGTGTGTGTGTGTGTGTGTGTGTGTGTGTACACGCACATGAGGGACCGTGAGGGACCCGCTATGGCTGGAAGTGAAGGATGGATACCAATCAATCAATGGGGCTGATGCCGACGGAAGCGCATAGCCGCATCCACCCTTCACTTCCAGCCATAGCGGGTCCTCCATGGCGAGCCACCAGGCAGGCCCTCGGTTCCATCTCTAACACCTCACAGCAGGTTAGATCGAGATGCCCAAGACATGCTTTTCTAGGTCGTCCCACGGGCCTCCACACAGGATTGTCTCGTGAATAGACAACCTCATCATCATCATCATCATCAGGAGCTAACGTCGACGGGGGTGCATAGCCACGTCCACCTTTTGGGATCCTTCATGGCAAGCCGCCAGGCAGGGGCTCGGCCCATCTCGAGCTCTGCCCGACAGGTTTGATCAATCTGCCCAAAGCACGACCTCCTAGGTCGTCCCACAGGCTTCCTCTACCCAGGGTTATCTCTTACAGAGACAACCTGATGAGCAGGATCAGCCAGTGGAAAGCGAGCCAGGTGGCCATATAGCCTGAGTTGGCGATCCCAGATTGTGCAGGTAACAGGTCCTGTGCCAGTCTCATGGTGCAACCGTTGGTTAGACACATGGTCCCGCCAACAGTACCCCATGATCCGGCGGAAGGACCTATTACAAAAGGCATCAAGATGAGACTCTAGGGCACTGGATAATGTCCAGGTTTCACTACCGTAGAGCAAAACTGGCATTATAAGCGCCCTGAAAACCCATAGCTTGGTCCTTCTGCACAGATACCGGCACCTCCAAATACTCTTGTCGAGAGAGTTCATGACCCTGCTGCCAGGCCAATCCGTCTGCTGACTTCCTGGTCTGACAGCCTAGAGTTATGAACTGCACTACCAAGGTATGTGAAGCTCTCTGTGACTTCAATGTCCTCGCCGCAAGCACGTACCGACCGAACAGGTTCTCCTAGCAAGTCCCCACAGTCCTGGATCTTGGTCTTGGTCCAGGAGACCTCTAGACCTGAGGACTTCGCTTCATTACTAAATGCATCGAGAGCCACCACTAGGGTTTCCAAAGACTCAGAGAAAATCGCAACATCATCGGCAAAGTCGAGGTCTGTAACCTTAATATTACCCAGTGTTGCTCCACAATGACTTTGAACATTAGCTCTGCCTAGTATTCAGTCCATGCAAGTGTTGAAAAGTGTTGGTGCAAGAACACAGCCTTGCCTCACTCCTGAACTAACAGGAAAGAAGCTTGACAGGCCCCCGCCACACTTTACAGCACTTTCAGTACCAGTATACAGGCTTGCTATTAGTTTGATAATCCATGTTGGAATTCCTTTCAGTCTCAGGATCTCCCAGAATGATTCCCGATGCACCGTATCGAACGCCTTCTTGAGGTCGATGTAGGCTGCAAGCAACCCACGTCCGAACTCACGATGGCACTCTACAATGACTCGAAGCGCAAGGATACAGTCTATTGTTGACTTACCAGGAGTGAATCCAGATTGCTCTGGCCTTTGATGCCTCAGAAGGATGCGGGCAAGAACCTTGCCTGGTACACTTAGCAGTGTGATGCCGCGGTGATTGCTGCAATCCCATCAGTCCCCCTTCCCCTTCCAGAGAGGGATGACCACACCCCTCAACAGGTCAGAGGGAACGGTACCGGACTGCAAAATGGCAGCCAGGACAGCATGCAATCCCCGCGCCATAGGTTCACCACCAGCCTTTAATAGTTCAGCTGGGATGCCGCAAATACCCGCTGTGTTACCACTCAGCTTGGAGATCGCCTCCCTAACCTCAGCTAGAGAGGGTGGGTTCTCGCTTATGGGTGGGTCCGGCAACGGAATCACGGCACTACCCACACCCAAGTTAACCGCTGGAGGGTCAACCTGATACAACTGCTCAAAGTACTCAGCCCAACGCTCCCACACCGCAACAGGATCTGAGACGATCTGGCCACCTACTAAGCAAACTGCAGTCACCTGTGAAGAGGGCTTGGAATTCAGTTTTCTCAGGGCTTGGTATGCAGGACGAAGGTCAATTACTAAGAAATGGCCTACTTCCTCAGCAAGACTCCTAATAAACGGTTCCTTGTCCCTTCTTAACAGACTGAATTCTGCGCACTTGAGAACAGTGCAAATCCCGATCCCGTGCCAGACGAGCCGCACGGCAAGCATCTGTGGCTTCCAGTGTCTCCTGAGAGATTAAATTCTGTCTTGCTCTCGGGCGTTCTCCAATCGATTATTGGGCTGTATCAAGCGTTTCACACTTGAAGGTGTCCCACAGAAGTACAGGGTCTGTCAGATTGTTAAGCGCTGTGAACTGATCAGAGATTGTCTCAGCAAACCTCCGAGTACACTCCCTCTCCTTCAGCCTGTCCAGATGAAACACCCTAGGGTGATCAATGGGCCGCTGGGGAGTTTTGAAGTGGACCCGGAGGGTAGCCACAACCAATCTATGGTCAGTACCACAGAACTCAGCACTCCTATACACCCTGCAGTTCTGGAGGATCCTCCAACGAGTGCTAACGAGAATGTGATCGATCTCCTTGGCTGCATTACCCGCATCGCTGTACCATGTCCAACGATGTGGGTCTGGGCGTGGGACCAGGAGCCAGAAATCCTCAATTTCTGGGATCTTGCAAAATCCCGGAAAAGGAGGGAATTCTCGCTGCCGGTATCAACTCCCGAACCATGAGGACCAACTGACATCTCATAGCCAGCTCGATCGCAGCCAGACACCACATTGAAGTCACCCAGAACAATACGAATATCTCGCCGGGGACAACTTTCTGCCATAGATGCAAGTTTGGCATAGAACATCTCATTCATGTCAAGTTTAGGAGCTTACACAGCAATAAGAGACATGAAGCCAAAAGACAGCTTCAGCCTCATTACCATTATATGCTCATTGACTGGAGTGACTACCACCGAGGGCTGGAGCCTACTGGAGACAGCTATGGCTACTCCCTGAAGATGGTGACCATTGCTGTGGCCTGATCAGTAATAGGTGTAGCCACATACACTGCCAGGTCTTCTCACTTCCGAAAGAGCGGCCACCCCTACTCTCAGCCTCCCCAGTTCCCTCGATAGCACGGGCAACTGATCATCCTGACGCAAAGAGCAGACGTTCCAAGCCACCACCCTGATTTCCTGCCTGAGGTAAACCCTCGGGCAGTCGCTCTGGGTGGACGCCACCTCTGCCACCCACATCGATGCTGCCCCACATAAAAGGCGGCAGGCTGCGGGACCCATCATCCACCTGTGGGGTTCCCTAGGGCTTTACCCTGCAAGCTTCATATTGGGCTGGCGGCTGCCAGAATGCAGGCGGGACGAGGAGCTCCCGTTCCCATCCTGCGCCTCAGCAGCCACCCTCCCAACGGGGCTTGCAGCCCGCCTCTCTTGCTGGTTAGGAGGGACATTACCCCTCCCCCAGCATTACCATTTAAATGACACACTGACAGTGGGTTATTCTCTGGGGGGAGGAGGACTGGCAAGGTCCACCTTCCCCGAGCCTCCTATTGACCCCAGGGGGCTTAGGGGCAGGAGTTAGTACAGGGCCAGGGCGTGTCCACACGCCGATGGGCCATAACCCTGTACCTCTGGGGCCTCCTGCTGCTCAGAGATCCCCTGCAGTTCAGCCTGGGACTGCAAGGTGCCAATTTCCATAGGTGGCCACGAGGAGGCACTGCAGAAGTCTCGATGATGGAGAGGCTATGAACTGGCAGGGGAGACTTATGCGGCGTTGCTCCCTTTTTCGCACAAGGCTAGTCAGCGGTGGCAGCTGCAAGCGGGAAGGCATGCAAGCACTTAACACTATCTAGGCTACCACACCATCGCTTCACACCACCCTGTGCATGAAGCACCCACCCATAATGGGTGGGTGCATAATGGGCAGGGTCATCC